CCATCTGGGCCATCAGACCTGGCTGCTGGGGAGCAGCAGCCGGTGAGCCAACTGCAGATGGTGGGGCCGCTGCTGGTGGCTGAGCTGCCGGTGCTGGCCTGGGTGCAGTTCTCCTCTGAGGGGCCCGGGTGGCCGGAGGGGCCATGCGGGAGGTGCGACTTCGGCTTCCACGCGGCATCGTAAGTACCCGGCGGCTCCGCTTCTCGACGTGCGAAACTACCAAAATATTTTTAAATAGAAAAATAAATGACTTGCAAACACTCAAAAATTACATCTAACGAGAGCTGGAGATATAGTCTTATCACCAGTGGAGTCATGCTCACTGTCAGAAACCAGGAGATCGTATGTGGGACAAACATTGCCAAGTGAATTCAGGAGGAGGGTGGGTCTGTGGTCTCCCTTCCCCTCTCCTCCCACCTACTGCAGTCACAGAGACCTGCTTGGGCAGGAAGGCCCACCATCACAAGAACAGACACGTCCCAAAATTTGGCCTCCTGCTGGGTGGCCACCTGTCCACTCAGACCCTGCATGAGCCCCGTCCAGTAGAGCACAGGGGACTGGCCGGGGGGGTACTCCCTTCACCCCTTGCTTGCCAGGCCAGCTCACTGGAACATCCTCCTGTGGTTGGCTGAATAAAATGCCCATGTCATCAACCCTGGGATCCCCGTAAATACATTCCTTTCCGTGGCAAAAGGGACTTTACAGATGTGATCATGAGATGGGGAGGTGATCCCGGATTATCCAGCGGGTCCAGTGTCAAAACAGGGGTCCTTACCAGGGCAGGAGGTTGAGGTTCAGAGAAGGCCATGTGACCACAAAAGCAGGAGAGAGTCAGAGACTTGAGGATGCTACGCTTTGAACATGGAGCACACAACCCTAGGCCACAAATGCAGGTGACCTCTGGAAGCTGGAAAAGGCAAGGAAACATTCTCCCTAGAGCTTCCAGATGGAACGCAGCCCAGCTCGCTTTAGCCCAGTGAGACTGATTTCAGACTTCTGACCTCCAGAAACGTAAGAGAATCAACTTGTGTTGCTTTCAGCCACTAAACGTGGGGTCGTGTGCTACAGCAGCTGCTGTCCTTTCGATGTCTGTCGGAAACCTCATATGGAGATTTGATCCCCAATGACAGAGGCAGGGCCTAATGGAAGGTGTTTGGGTCGAGGGCGGATCCCTCACGAATAGACTAATGCTCTCGCTGGGGGTGGGAGAGGGTGAGTTCTCACTCTATCAGTTCCTCCAAGAGCCAAGGGCTAAAGAGTCTGGCCAGGCATGGTGGTTCGCACCTGTAATCCCAGCACTTTGGGAGGCTGAGGAAAGAGGATTACCTAAGCCCAGGAGGCTGAGACGGTGGTGAGCCATAATAGTGCCACTGCACTCCAGCCTGGGTGACAGAGTGAGACTCGACTCAAGAAAAAAAAAGCCTGGTTCCCTCCCCCCACCTCATGCTCCATTCCCACCATGTGACTCCTGCACACGTGGTTCCTCATCCCCTCCGCCATGAGCGGAAGCAGACTGAGACCCTCACCGGGTGCCGAATCTTCTAGCCAGCAGTATCGAATCGTCAGAATCATGAACCGAATAAATCTTATTTTTGGATAAATTAGCAGTCTCAAGGGTTCCTTGATAGCAACACATGCAGGCCTGACTCACAGAACTCCCCAGGCTGACGGCTCCTCCACCCGACAGGCCCTTTTCTTTCTCTCTCTCTTGCCCTGCCGTGCAACTTGCCCGATGAACTTCTAGAAAAATCCGATTCATCGAAGTGACCTTTTCCTACCAGTCTCCAGAAGATTTGCCTCGCTCACAGGCCGAGTGGCTGCCCAGAGGGTGAGGTTTCTGAAGCAACGAGTACATCCACCCACACACACCACCTCCTCCCACTGGATGATCCCTGGAATTCTTCCACCAGAGCATGACCTGGGTGTCAGATCCCAAACGCCCCCTCCAGTTCCATGGGGTGGGGGGCGGTTTGGAAGGACCCAGGGGACGGGACTCATGCCATGAGCCCTCAAAGACATGCCCTGACCCCGCTGCTTTCCATCACCTGCTGAGCAAAGCTACTCCTGACCCTGGTATTAGGAGACACGGTTCTCCCCACTTGCATTTGAAGGCCCGGACACCGCCAACCTCCACTCCCAATGTGCCAAGGAGGCAGTGCTGGGAATAGAGGCTTTCCAGGTGAGGGGGTGTCTTCTCAGAACGGGGGATTCACCCAGCGTCCACACTACGCCCAGGATGGGCCCAGCTGCCAGAGCCCCCAAGTCTGACAAATCCTCTCTGCACAGCTGGAATCTGTCCCCCAGATTCCTATGTTGAAGTCCAATCCCCAAGACCTTAGAATGTGACTATATTTGAAGACAAGGCCCTTAAAAAGGTGAGGAAGTTAAAACGAGGCCGTGAGGGTGGGTTTTCATCCAATCTGACAGGTATCCTTATAAGAAGAGGAAGAGGCACCCAAGGGCACCTGCATGTGCACAAAAGGAACACATATGAAGACACAGAGAGAAGACGACCATTAGCAAGCCAAAGAAGGGGCGCTTGGGGAAATCAATCCCACAGCACCTTGATCTTGGACCTCTGGCCTCCAGAACCGAGAAAATAAATGTCCATTGTCTAGCCACCCACCTGGTAGTTTGTCATGGCAGCCCAAGCTGACTTCCACCATCTCCTCCCTCAGGCTTGCCCTAGCCCGAGGGGCAGCCAGGGGACAGAGTACCCAGTGATAGTGACATGCACCCAGAGACAAATCAGGGTCTCAACCTCATAGCTGCCAGGGTCCAGGCAGGAATGAGGTCTGTGGCATTCAAATTCCAGTGTCTGAAGACAATGCTGAATCCAGCTGTGTGAGTCCGACTCTGATTCACACCCTCAACAGAACTCACACAGGGAGTCTCTGGTAATGTCTGAATCCTTCTCTGATTTGGAGTTCTCTTCTGCCTGTTGTTAACGTGATGGCACCTCATCTCACACCAGCCACAATATTCTGTAAGTTCCCTGTGCGTAGAGTATGCACAACACGTGCAGGTGCGCCTCTAAACTATTTCGGTGACTCACGCACACGGGACACGGTGGAAACAGCCTACCAGGGAGTGCTTAGACAGGGAGGAAGAGCACGCACTCGGCAGTACCAATCATGTGGGTCCATCTTTAATTATGTTAAATATTAATAAAAGTACAGCATAACTGGGATTCATCTAATATACCTTACGCGGCTAAGGGAGTACAATTGAATACAATCTGGTACACAGCCTTCGAGAACACAAAGTCACTCCAACGCCAGGTCTCAAGAAATGCTCCAGTTGGCTTTGGTTTGGGATGGCAGGCTCTAGGACCACCGCCCAGAACGGAACCTGCGCTGTTAGCAAGAAGTGGGCCTCAGATGACAGACAGCAAAGGCAGCAGACATGCCCTCTGGAGAAAGGCCCCTGGAGAGAAAAACCGTGTCTGGATGGCATCGATTGGCACAGAAGGGATGGGCCTGTGTGTATAAAAAAGAGCCGTATAATAAACCAAATAATATTGGAAATAACACCTTCAGTAATACTTCTGTAAGAAGCAGAATTACACGACATGTTATTCACATGCATAGGAGTGCATACAAAAAGTCCCTTGTTGTGATGATGGTTGGTGTGGATAGTAAAATACGCACTGGAAATGACAAATTAGTTGGCAGAGAAACTAATCTAGAAAGGGGTGGTGTCCAGAGCGGAGGAACTGAAGGGAACCCACTCAGAAGGTGCAGCCGCACATGCGCACGTGCGCGTGCGCGCACACAGACACACACGCACGCACACACACACACACTCTGTGTTGCAAATAAATACACACACACACACATACACACACACTGAAGTGATATCTCCCTAAAGCATCCTTGTGCTCGGCCAGATCTCCCAGCTGGCTGATGTTCCCAATGCCGGCTGCAGAGAAAGGGTGCGATTGTTCAGGACACAGCTCCCTCAGTAGCAGAAATAGCCCCGGCCATGCCAGTGCTGAGAGCCCTGCGCACGCCTCCAAACGGGCTGTGTTTCCCACCTCCGGAGGCAGAAAGACAACGGCGCCAGGAACACTCGGATGGCTGGAGGACTGCGGATCCTCCCGCCACTGAGGCCGTCTGTCTCACACTTGCAAGTTAGAGTTGGGCATGTGGGCATTTGCACTTTCTAACTTTGGTGGAAGAGACCTTGGCCTGAGAACTTTGGTTCACAGCAAGCTTCCCTTGACAACACTTGAGTGCAAAGCGTCGACTAGGTCCCAAGTGGGTGGTTGCCAAGGGGTGTCAAGCCTTCTCTTCAATTTTCCCCATGACTTCTGGGAAACAATAAGGCCTCCAGCCCAACCATCAGTGAACCAAGCTCCCAAATGGCCTGGAAAGTTCCATGAAGAACGAGGCTCCTGGTGACCTCGCTCCGAATCTCAACATTCTATGTTTAGCCCACGTTTAGCTTGTTCGTTGTGATTCTGAATCAGGACAGAGTATCTCGTAGTCCCTTAACTGGAGGTTTGACCACACATGGCGAAGAATGTGGATGATGAGCTCATTCCCATGGGAAAATGAGGCGAGGGAGACTGTAGCCAGCCAGAACTAAAATGTAAAATCCTCCATTTCTCTGATGACCTTGTCCACATGACGACGGCGGGAGTTACCTACATTTTCCGTGAAGCGTTCAGTTCCTTGAGGTTACTCATCTGGCATTAAGAGCAAAAAATTCCCTTCCAATTATAATCTGACTTCTTGAGAAAAACATCTAAAGAGGCAGAAAACAGAGCCAGGACCGGTCAGATACAGAAAGTGGTTGGTTTCAAACGCATTCATCTTCTACGTTAAATGTAAGTGAAGTCTGCGAGGACAGAATGGGAGGAGGTCGGAGAGACAAAAGATGCTGCCAAAAACTGACTTGTTTTTTTTTCCTCTTGGAAACAGTGAGGTTAACAGGGTTTATATCCGAAGAGACTAGAGACTTTGGAATGAAAGGTAAAAAAAAAAAAAAAAAAATGGATAAGCCTCCATTCTCAAAAGAGCTGCGATTCTCTGCCCCAGTGAGGTTAGCAATCTCAACAAAAGAAGAGTTTCGCAAGTGAATGTGACATGGTTGCCCCTGCGAAGAGCCACTGCACTCCAGCCCGGGCAATGGAGCGAGACCCCGTCTCTACAAAAAACAAGTAGTGAATGTGAAGTGTGAGCTGCTGCCAGCCCCATGGTATGACTTCTAGCGTGCTTAATTGGATCCCAGACTCAGGCCCTCCCGAAGGTAGATGTGGGCAGGGCCTGGGATGCCTTTCCCCAGCATCCTCTCCCAGGTACCAGCCTGCCTCATTCCAAAGCTCTAGGACTCTCGGAGCAGAGCTGAATTCTTGAGGACGTGGACTCTCCGCTGGCCTCGGAGGGCGGTGGTGGCCCGTGAGGGTCAATGACTGAGCTATGGAACATCACAAAGGAAATTCCGACAGGGTTATCATGAACGTGTGCCTGGAGAGGGAAAGAGTCCTGGGGTTTTCCACGCCAGGAGTGAAGCGGTTCCCCATAAAGAGAGATTCTTAAAGTCCTGGTAACGACAGCATCGGCAGGCCCAGCACGTGCAGGGGGACGCGGCTGTCACGTCGTCTTCCACGCAAACGCCTCATCATCGAGAACCTGTGCCAGCCTGGCATTGAAAGGCCCATAGAAATCCCGCAGGATCTTCTGTGTGACCGGCCACATGGGCCCCAGGCTCCGGTCCTCGGGACGCCGCGTGTTGGAGGCGGGGCTCTTGGTCATCAGGGCCTCCTGCTTCTCACTTAAGGGCCCTGGAACAAAAGAAAAAGCACTTCGTAAGGGTGAAGGCAGGAAGGAAAAGGGACTTTGCAAGAATCCCAGCTATGTTTTGTGTTGCCACAGACAGTTGTTTCTTTTAAGAAGAATGTGTTTGAGGATTAACATTCTTTGGCCGGATCCATTTCGCTGAGGGAGGAAGGTGGAAATACTTTTATAAAACAGCAGAGAAATTCTGTGGCCAGTGCAAAACGCCCACCCCTGGGGGAGCCCCACAGGTGCTTTATGACAATGCAGCACGCTGGAGGCTTACCTGGAGAACTCATCTCCAACCGCCCTTAACACGCTGTTTTCTGTGCTGTCAACTGGCCCTGGATAACTGTGTCACCTGCCAGGACCAGTCCATGAGCTTGGATTTGCCTGCTAATCTACCCACTGGAATTCTGCCCCAGCCATTTCTACTTTAGGCCAAAACTGATGCAAAGGGTCCCAGGCCTGGCCATATTCTACTCTGTGTGTCTTGCTGAGAAGTGGCCGTGGGAGGGGAGGGGACCTGTGTCCAGAGACCCCACTGTGAACCTCCCCCTACAGCAAGGACATCAATAAGGAGAGACTCTGCAACAAGCCAGCAGGGGCTGCCACCCTCATACTCAGCCCTCTGGGCCATAGCCTCTCGCTCGCTTAACCCACTGACCACCACTCAGGCTGCTTTATCCTGGGCTCTTGGGATCTGGCCAAAGTCCTTAGCCCATACGCAGAAAAAGCATGTCCCAGTGTTCTAGGGTTGGATAAAAGATAAGCTCATGAATGTGACAGAATCAACGTGGTCAAAGCAAAGAAAAACGGTTCCCGGCCCGGCCTTAGGAAAGAAAGTCACATTACCAGCTCTCCACAAGAAGGAGAAACATCAAATGATGAAGGAGTCCTGAGTTCCAGTGCTGAGCAGATAGATATATTTCCAGAAATACTCAGTTAAACAAATCACCAGGCAAGATTGTTAGGGCCGCGAGAGGTGTTCTAGGATACAACGCAAATTCTTCTGACCCTGTCTCAGTCTTTCAAGACATCCTTGAGCACCTCATCCACGTGGGCAGAACTCCCCACCCTCACACATGCTTCTGCCAGCCATCACTATGGGCAGCAGCGTGACCTGTTACCATCAGGTGCCCCTGGGGACCCTGGGGGCCCGTATCCTCAGGAGGGACCCGGCAGCTGTGGCCAGAAGCTGAAACCCAGTCATGTGGTTCTGACTCCAGGGATCACCAACGACCCCTGAGATGATGCAGTGACCTGCCCATTCCCTCCTCCAAGCCCTGTGTCCTCTGTCCCCGTCACCCACTGACACCGTGTCAGTCTTTCAAAGCTGGGCTCTCAGACCTTTCCACGAAGCTTTCCCCAATGCCTTCAGCAGCTGGAGTCCCACATATCAGCATACACCTTTTGTGGCCACACTGACCTTCCCCCACGGCGTTCTAGCTGTCACTCGGCTAGGAGAGCTTCCTCCTCTCTTCTCCCTCTCCCTATGTGGCTTCTTCCTCTCCCTTCACTAGGCCATCTCCTCCTTCCCCGAGGATCCCCTATAACGCCACGCAAAATCACCTGTGTGCAGGGGTGCTCAGTAAATGATACTGAATAGGTCTCTCGTAGGGTGTTCCCAGTTCAGCCATCCCAGCCCAGCTCGCCATGTCTGTGTTTGACCCAGAATGCTCCCAGCAGAGACATGTCCATGGAGCTCATGCTCTCCCTACTGGTCTTAAGCATCACAAGCATACCTAGGTTCAGAAACTGGAAGACCTTGTGCATGGTGTACTTGACGTTGGATGCATGATCTTCCAGGCGAAGAATGAGAAATTGTTCCTTGCTATAAACGGTGAGCCAGTCCAGAAGGTACACGGCATACAGCCCAACCTGGAGCCTCACCTAAGACCACAGAAGAAGGGCATTATTTCAGGAACAATTCCCAAGAGAAGTGTGGCATTTCATTGTAAATCCCACAAGAGAGTTATCCCAGCCAACAGTCAGCTTCAGAAGTGAGATTTTTAACACACTAGGTTTTTGCTTCTTCTTGAGGGGTTTTGTGCTACACATATGAAGAATTCCCACACCGAGGGTTCACAACAACTCTGTAGGCATCAAGCCTCCATTCCACAGGTGAAGACTGAGGTGCAGGGAAGAGGTCAAGGTTGCATCAACCCTTGGTGCATGTGTTCTTTGCACGATATCCTGACCGTCTCTGCTGCCACTGTGACCTCTATGCCCAGCACACAACAGGCTGTGAAAAATCAGCTGCAGACTCCCCAGAGACCACCCAGGTGAGTAAACAGCCAATGCCTGGTGCTGTCTAAGCGTCTGTGACCATGAGTGTGCATGTGAATCTAATCAGCTTTGAAGGAAGCCCATGGGACTTAAGTCTTTTTCCTTCCTATCTGCCTGTTTCCTGGGGCCTCATCCGTATGATCCTTCTCCCATGCCCCACTGCAAGCCTGTGTAGTGAAGATTTATTTAACCCTATCCAAGAGAGATCTGACCTTTGCCCTCGGTTCCTGGGAGGTGGCCTCTGGGTTTCTGGTGTCCTCCCTGACAAAAGTGATTTATGGGCTTTGAGCCACACAGTATCAGTCCTGACTCTGGTGGGACTGGAGACTGACGGTCAGTCACATGAGCAGTATGTGAGCGAGCCCCAGAAAAAACTCTGGATGCCAAAGCCCTGGTGTGGCAACACTCCATGAGTATTGTCACGCATCATGGCCAGGAGTCATTCACACTATCCATGACTCCGTGGGGAGGGAAGGACTTGGAACTCTGCAGTTGGGCCCCTTCTAGACTATGGCCCATGGCACTTCTTCCCTGGGCTCATTTTCTTTGCTTTCTTTCTTTTTTTTTTTTTGAGTTGGAGTCTCACTCCATCACCCAGACTGGAGTGCAGTGGCCGCTCCCGGCCACCGCAGCCTTGACCTGCTGGGCTCCGGCGATCCTTCTGCCTCAGCCTTCCAAGGAGCTGGAACTACAGGCAGACGTTACCACGCCAGATAAATTTTTGATTTATTGTAGAGATGAGGTCTCGCCAAGTTGCTCGGGTGGGTCTCGAACCCGCAGACCCAAGCAATCCTCACCTCGGCCTCCCAAAGCTCAGGCTGAGCCACTGAGCCCGGCCTGGGTTCATTTTCATCTACACCCTTTCCTTGTAATAAATTGTGACCATGAGTGTAAACGCCTTCTGTGTGTTCTGTGCATCCTTCTAGAAAATTTTTGAACTTGCCAGGCCCAGTGGCTAGCACCTTTAATCCCAGCACTTTGGGAGGCCAAGGCAGGAGGACTCCTTAAGCCTGGGAATTCAAGACCAGCCTAGGCAACATAACAAGACCTCATCTCTACAAAAAAATGAAAAAAAGTTAGCCAGTGTGGTGGTACACACATGTAGTCCTAGCTACTCAGGAGGCTGAGGCAGAAGGATTGTCTGAGCCCAGAAGGTTGAGTAAGCAGTGACTGTGCCACTGCACTCTAGCTTGAGCAATAAAGTGAGATAAGATCCCAACTCAAATATATATCTATATATTCAATAATTTTCATATATACAAATAGTTTTTTAAAAAATTATTTAAACTGAGGGTGGGTTGGGGAACCCCTTGCCCCAAACTTGCAATTGGCATCCGAAGTGAGGGCAGTCTTGGGACTGTTCCCCCTAACTTTGCAGTTTGCCATAAACTCTTGGCAAAGCTTCTAGAAAAAGCAGACCTCTTCCTCTTTCCCGGTTAGGGCTCCTTCTCCAGGGCTTCTCCTCGGCCTCTCCCTCATGTCCTCAGGGACCGCACTCTGTCTATCTGTGGTCTGCCCAGAATTTCTCATCTCCCTTTGTTGATGTCCCATCCAACCTGCCTGAACACTAACACAGCTCCCAGGCTGGTCTCCTCTATTCTTTGCACTGCCATCCGTGTCCCGCCACCAGCATATGACCTTTCCCAACCAGTGACCTGGCTGTAGTCGGACCCCGCTCAAAGCCTGCATGGCTCTCTAGGCGCAGAAAGCCCTAGGTCTACCTTGAACTTCTAGCTCAGTCCCTCCTCCATGGAGGACCCCAAGCTCCCCCTCGGAGCTCCCTGGTTCCACAGGCAACTGTTGAACACGGGGTTGACAATCAGATGATGAAACGCCCGGCAAAATATGTGCAGAACTAGTTTCGTCTCTCACTGCTTGTTTCCCATTTCATTATTTTTCTAACCACGGAGGAGGATGAGGAGGAGGAAAACAATTAGAGCGGATAAGTTGTCTCCGAAATTCATTAGCTGTTTCCAGCCCACACACTGTTGCTACCTTATACACCAGCTCATACAAGAGACCTCAAGCTGGGCCCAAGCTAAAGAGAAAATGAGTGTTACGTGCCAGTCTCGGAAATAAATATGCGTATCGCCTCCAACGCAGAAGAATCATTAGGAGAGAATGTCTTGTTGTTAAGTCGCTGGCCTCACAGGCATGTTCGGTTCTTTCTCCCTGGCAGGCTCCCAGGTCGTCCCTTGCAGGGAAGACCAGTCTGACCAAGGCTTGGCTCTTCCAGAGAACCAGTCTTTCGACTGCAGAACTTTCCAGAAGGAAAGGAGCCGGGCTTTTGTGGCAGGCTAGGGGGGTTTTAAAGTAGCTGTAACCTGTCTCTGCACCTGGCTGCAGGTAACAGAGTATTTCTCTGAAACCTGTTTGTCACCATCTTGGTGACAGCCCCCTCCGCTGCCCTCTGGAGGACAGAGCCCAGCTAGCAGGGTCCTGCCCTGGGGCATGGTCCTCTCAACAGGCAGGGGTGGTCAGGGAAGGGGAGGGAGCCCCAGGGGCCAAGACCCAAGACAGCTAGCCCCTCTGCCCCCTGCAATTCCCTCTTATCCGTCCACCCCCACAGCCCCCTCAATTCCCACTCCAACCCCAGCCCCCCTAGCAGCCAAGGAGAGTTCTGGTCACCTCAAGTGACAGTTTCTGGTACATGCCGCATCACTGCCACAACTGTGCATTATCAAGACAAGCCAAAGATGGCCCCAGTCAGAATCCTTCTTTCCTCATCCTTGTCCAGTATAGGACAGAAAATCAACATAGGACAACCAAAAAAAAGGGTATTTAGGACAAGTGCCCAACACGTTTAAAATTAGAAAACATCAGAGCTTCAAGAAGTCTTTGAAGTTATCTGTGCCAGCTGATTCATTGACAGAAAAATAGATGCCCAAGGAGGGGCAGGGGCTGTCCAGGGCCAGTGCCAACCCCCTGAGCCAGGATCCAAAACATGCCCTTGTGTACATGGGGCTTGTCCCATCACACGGGGCCCCCGGAAGAGCAAGCCCTGAGGAGAGCCAGTACTGAGCTGAAGGCGATCCTAGGCCTTACTTCTCTCCAGACTGGCACCTGGCTGAGCCTCTCTGTCCCCCACTAGAGAGTTGAGACTCTCGACACCTACCCTTACTAGTTCCCATTCACTCATGTATGCATTCATTCATTTGACAAATAATCTGAGTTCACACCAGGCAACCCACTAGGGGTGTGCCAAGGTCCAGTGTGTCTTACAAAACTGCCCTCCCAGTGCGGCGGCTGGGCTGGGATTTGCAGCTGGAGGGAAGCTGGTTTCTTGCAGAAATGAAAATTCACTTCTAAGAGGAGCGTTTTCAGTTGCCCGGCTCTTCCTCTTGTGTCTGAGCTCTCCAGGGACTGGGGAGATTAAAGGATGCTCCTCCTGCCACATTCATTCCATCCATTGATCCTGTCCTGGGGATCTCCCTTTACCAGGGGCACCGGCTAAGCTACTTACTGTCTTGTCATCTTCAGCAAAACAAAATTGAATGTAAAGCACATGCCTCCAGCCAGCTCAAACTCTGGCTTCTAGGAGCGATTTCGGAATGGTGGAAACTCCCTGAGTTTAAGGCCATCAGACCAGGGACCGAACCTTAAGCCAACTTATTCCTAGCTACGGGTTGGAGAGTTGACCTCAGTGAGACTCAGTGTTCCTGTCTGTAACATGAGGGTGGATTTCAGGGGCCCTGTGAGGACTGAATGTGACAATGTGTTGAAAGAGCTTGGAACAGTGTCTGGCAGTAATGAGCCAAGGTTAGATCCCTTCCCATGATGTGGTTTTCAACAACATTTATCAGGAAGTTTCAAGCATGCAGGACATGGAGACAATCAGGATGGTGTCCATGAACTTATGGCTCAGCCACAACAATGTTCTTAAATTCAGGGATAGAGCACACCGGAAGCAGGAGCTGAGGGGCACACCCTCCCTTCTTTGGGAGGAAGTATCCCACATGCTCTGTCTCGGGCTCTGGCTAGAACAAGAGAAGGGGCTGGGGGCTGGCATGGATGGGTGGTACAAAGTGTCCCGGGGTACACAGATCGCACACGAATATCAGACATTCACTTTTCTAGGAGAGAAGCACAATTGGGGCTATTAAAATAAAACTGTGCCCCAAGGCAGGAGTCCCCCCAGCCTGCCTTTTCCTGCCCATCCAAACCCACCCAGCTGAAGCAGCTTCTTCTCAGGAATCCCAGTGTAAACCCTGCCCCTGTCCCTGTTTTCCAGTCCTTTTTTCAGACAGTCTCCTACAGAGAGAACTCAGTGGCCACACGGTCTGCATGGGGAGGGTTCCAGCCCCTTCTGGGACCACGCCAGCTGGACAGCTCACCTCTCACTGTCCTCCTCTGCTGAGGACGACACTGATTCCTGCCTTCCTGCTTCCCATCTGCCCGTCAGGATTGTTTGGAGAATCATGTGGGATCACACATAGGAGAAAATTTCAAAAGGCATGTGGTAGAACCACCGAGGTGAGGGCTCATCTTCCTTCCAGGCACATGAGTCTCATCTCCTGGGTCAGAACACCACCCTGCACCTTCCCTCTTAGACCAGGGCCTGCACACGGTGGGAGCATAGGAACAACAGCCAAAGACTGACCTGCTGGGAAAATGTTGGGGCCAAACACGTGTCGGGAGGAAGCTGGGTCACAAGGCATAGATTTGGGTCCTGGATCCTCGGTTTACTAGCTGGTGGCTCAGGATGAAGGTTGCCTCTCTGGGCTTCAGTTTCCTCAGATGTAAACAGGAAGCCCCAGGTAGGGGAGGGCTTGCATCAGGCATGGTGCCAAGTTGGTGCTCAGTCTACACTGGCTGAATCCATCCTTTCCCATCCACACTCTGACCGGCACGTTCAACCCCCTTGGCAAGCTCCGCCTGGTGGCCCCATCGACCAGGAGGTACCTGGGCAGAGAAAGGCGGCCAGGCAGACTGGCTCACCTGGCCAGTTGGGCTGCGAGCACTCCTGTCTGCAATCTTCCTCTTCCCCTTCCTTCCAGGGTTGCATCTCTCCCTCAGTCAGGGGTGCGGGTCTCAGACTAGCCTTGAAGGTCCTGTACCAAGTTTTTCCTTCTCTGAAATGAGGCCCTGTGGAAGATTAGACAGTGCTCTCCTTTGCTTCCTCCTGGATTTTCCGTGGACATTTCCTTAAACATCCAAACCCGGAGGTGGTCTGCAACCCTTCGCCCCCGGGGTGACAAATCTACATCACAGTTTCTGACTAACCTAGACAAGTGCTTTCATTTCACCTAGAGATATTCTCCTGACAGTGTTATATACTTTTGTTTGCAATGACTGTTATTCGGGACTTCAAATTACACCTTTTAGTGTGCTCAGGAATGTCCTAACTCTCTCTGGACTGCATTTATAAATGATTGGCTGATTCTACCGAGAGCATGAGTGCCAGCTGAGGAAGTCACCCAGAGACCACGAATCCCTGCTGAGGCTAGTGTCACCCATGGTGGCCACCATCACAGGGAACAAGAGTCTTGGGGAAACTGTATTTTTGCGTGGCCATAGCTTGGCCAGCATAGCCCGCGGCCCTGCTCCATGACCCAGATCCACTCTCAGCTGTGGCTCTCCCACCCCCCATGGAGTGAGTCTGAGTAAACAAGCCCCCCAACGCTCAGGAGGCTCCCTTCAGATGGTCGCAAAGCTGGGCTGGCAGGAGGAAAGGGGCACTGGGCATGGCGCCTCGAGGCGGGGTTGTGGTTTCTTCCAGCACCCATCACGAGGCTCAGCACAGAGTGGGCACCCAATGGATGCAGATGGACACCAATCAAGTCTCCACTTGGAATCGGGCCTGTCTCTTTTTCATGCCACATCTACATTTTTCTCCTGCAGGTGGTTCCTCCTTCCTGCAGGCCCCACACAGAGGACCCTACATCACAGGCATAAATAATAATAATAACCAACAGCTAGGAGCGAGGACCATTGTGGGCCAAATGCTGTGCCCGGCATGCAAGCCAGAAAATGTGCACGTGGATGTGCTTCCTTTTTTCAACCCACCACGCCTGATCCAATCCATCCCCAAGTCCTTTTCCCTTGTCCTTCTAATTGTTTCTAGAAAACTCCTGCACTCTCCTAGCCTCTGCCCCTGTCCTGACTCAGCTGCCACCTCTCTTGCTGCCTACCCGTGTCTGGGAGACCACCCCTCCCGGGCCCTATCCCACGCCTGTCAGTTGCACCAGGCGCCCTTCTAAAACGTGGAACTACCATGACTATGGACGGGATTCAGGACACACTGCCTCAAAATAGGGCACCTTGGCATTTGAGAAAACAGCAGAAGCAGGAAAGCTGCTTGCACCTCTACCTCCCTTCTCTCCCCTGAAGCCGGCCACAAAAACCTCAGACCAGAAATACCCATCCTGTACCCAGAGGAAAGGAATGCCCTCATTTCTGAAGATGCAGAGACACAGAGAAGTATCTGAACAAAGAGTTCTGCATCCCCCCAGCTTATTACCATTAGATCACTCCCTGCCCTTTTACCAGTTATATCTCTCTGCAAGACTATCCTCTTCATCAAACCTAAGCTGGAAAATGTAGAGGTTTCCCTGTTTCTCTAGGTCTCCATTTTTCTTTCTGAAGGCTCTCGTGTCATGCAAAATATGTTAAATACATGTGTATGCTTTTCTCTTGTCAATCTGCCTTTTGCCTCAGTCATGAGCCTGGTCATGGCTAAGAAGAGATATTTCTTTTCAACCTTCACGCTGCCCTCTGTTTAAAGCCTCCCGTGGGGTCCCATCTCTCTCGGGGTGAGGTCTAGACTTCTTGCGAGGCTCACCAAGTTCTTGGGAATACAGCTCCACGTGCCATGGACCTGAGCTCCCTCTTTCACTGCTCCCTCCTTCCCTGGGGGGGCAGTGGTTTGATGAAGCTCAGGTTTGATGAAGAGGATAGTGACCACGGGGCCTTCGCACATGCTGTTCTCAGTTCTTGAGTTGACTCTTTCTTTAGGCCTCAGCACAGACATTCCCTCTCCTGATAACCTGCCTGATGCCTAGTTCTCAGGTGGCCTCTGCCGGGGCTTAGAGCTCCCTGCCCAGCCTTCATCCACTCTCCCGGCTAGTTGCACAGAAAGTCAAGGGCCATACCTGCCCTGGTGCTGCTATGGGCCCAGGACCCAGCACCATGTAGGGAATATAGTGGGGAGAATAAACACAGGAATACACGACAGAACTATCCATCTGTAATCCTTACAACAGCCTGGTAAAGTAGTATTATTACCCCCTTCTATGATAAAAAAACTGGGTGTCAGAGAGGCTAAGACAACTGTCTAGAGTCACACAGCCAGTAAACGCCTGCGCTGGAAACTGAATCCTCACCGGTGTCTGACTCCAAAGCCCACTTCTACCCAGACCACAGCCAGGTTTTGCAGCATCTGTGTCCCTGTGGCATCTTCCTTGCCAAACTACAAGGTCCAGCGGGACAGCCTCGAGTTCTACTACTACCCCTGCATGCTGCCTGCCAGAGATGATGGCCTCAATAACAAGTAAGAGGGAAAAACGTCTCTTGACCCCCCCCCAGGGGTTCTCGGGCCTCCACAGCAGGTCTGTTCACGTCTTACCCCATGCACACCTGCACAGAGCCAGGCTGGTAAAGCCACACTGGCAGCACTAGCTTCGCTGTGGGAGGTGTCACCCCACATAGGCCCCGCTGCCAAAGCACTCAGACAACCCAGGGAGCCCAGGTGGAAAATCTCCCCGAGGCTAAAAGTTGCTGGATTCACCATCAACGACATTTTGTATTTTTTAAAAAGGCTAGAAATTTATAGTTGGAGTCACGAAGGAAAAGCAAGAGAAAGGATTCAGGGATCAACAGAAATTACTTTAAAACCGAGACCCTGCCAAAGAAGCATTGAAAAGCAAAGATAGATAATTTTTTAAACCAACACCCCCTCCCCAAAGAGAATGCTCTTAAGACAATCTGAGAGTTGGGTGTCCTCATGTCTGCTGATTTTAATTGCTGGGTGTGTTTTTGGAGCCTCACTCAATGGTAATCTTCCTAAATGCACCCTCATTCTCCTGTGGAGGTGGCAGAGTGACCAGCAGGGAAGAATGCAGGGCGTCAGCCTAGAGAACCCATCCATTTTCAGTTTTTACAACCCATGAATAACGGCGATGGAGAACAGCATTTGCACATTAAAACGTTTCTCTGTGTTCCGATGCTAATACCCCAATCCACAATGCTGCTTGCATAATAACAACAAACCGGCTGGCTGTGCCAGGGCCGGCTGGGCGGATACGCACAGGCATGGCGTTGTTGAGCGTGTTGTTGTAGACACAGGCGCGCAGTGAATAATCGAGCATGCAATTTTCAAACAGCTGCAGTGCTTCTGTCACTTTCTCATGGAAGTCGTCTGCAGATTTATTCGAACTTGCAAAGTAGAGATAGTCTGAGTACAACCTATGAATAAAATAAATGGATATTTTTACCACCCGTGAATGTGCAATCACGCCATGTAGGTGACAATGAAAGTCAACGTACAATCACCTTAACTAGTGTTGCTTATGAAAACACTACCAGCTCTCTCCTCTCCCGTGTAGACCGGTCACCTCCCTAGTCCCTCTGAGCTCCCGCCCTTCACAGGGCCACCTAAGCTCTCCCAGACACAGACTTGTCTACACGGGGCCCTAGCAAACACCAGCAGTTTTTATGCCGGTGTTCTTTCTAGTCGTCTCAGGCAACAGCTCTGTTTTCACAGAAACAGAGAGCTTCAAGACAACGCCAGATCACCAAAATTGTACAATGGCAGAGAGGCCATGAACATTTAACACACTTTTCCATTACTCTCCCCTCTTCTGAAGGAACAAAAACAAGAGCATCTGTTGCTCTTACGGTATTACAATTCCACATGAAATTCCTGGCCCTTTTCATAGACATTCCTGACATTTTAAAAAAAATGATGAAATGTGTCTTTCTAGATTGGTAGGGACCTGTTTTTTGACATAACGCAAAAGCACCCCCACGTATGCATGGTAAACACCTGCAGATCTGTTTACCCACAGACACGAATCTGTTCCTGCAGACACCACCCACATGTATGGAAGAATGTTGCCACACAAGAACTGATAGCCTTCCTGAGCCAAACTCTAGTCGGGCTCTTCTGAATCCTCTTCTCAAGCAGGTCTCAATCTTTAGACCTCCAAGTCCATCTTTGCATCGCCCCATTTTAGCGAGAATCCTGCTGTTAAATACAATTTATGGGAGACCGCTGTTTTGGACTGAGTTTTTGCGCCAGGCCCCCACAGACCAGACCAAGCTGGAATGGAGTCATGCCAGGTGCCCTGTAATCGCACCGAACTGAGAAACAGGCCAGTTTTCAAAACAACAGGACATTCACAGCAGTCGTTCAGATGGAGCCCAGCCCATCTTAGCCAGCATACTAAGAAAGTACCCCCTACTTCCACCCTATAAGGAAAGTAGTTGAAATGACCAGTCTTCTCTTTGTTTTCTATTTCTACTTCTTCTGCCCTTTTCTGCCGATAAAGGTCACCCCTCTGCTAGGTTCACAGGAGAACCTTACTATTACAAGTGTACGATGCTGCCAGTTCATAAATTGTGCCCTTAAAAGCCAATTCGATCTTTAAACTAAATGTGTTAAAATTTTGGTTTTCGACATTGCTAAGTCTGTTTAGTCAAAATCCCCCACCCTTGATCACGAATCACCACCCTACGGATCTGATTGGGTTTCTCATCTTACGCCATTCCCCAGGTGAGGTCTGGGCACCTGGCCCATCTTCAGCAAGAATCCTATTAGATCAGTAGAGTCAAATCCTCCCCCTTACCCCTGACGTTTCCACCTTAGTAATTTTCCATCCATCACTCACCCCCACCCCGCCCTGATCCTTGGCCTTAAATCCCTGCTTCTCCTTGTTGTATTTGGAGTTGAGCTCAATCTCTCTCTTCTACAGCAAAACCCCAACCCAGTGGTCCCTGACCTTACTGCAACAGTCCCGAATCAAGTCTTCCTTCCTCTTTTAACAAACAGCAGAACAGTTTTTTTTTTCCTTTAACAGAACTTTCAGATTGAGTTTCCTCTTCTTTTTCCTCCCCTGTTTGCAGAGAGGTTCAAATCCTGCTTTGTCACAAACATCTGAAAGGGGACTTTGGTTCACCATAACAAACAGCCTCTACCTCCCAATTGGATGCTGTAGTTGGTTAAATTGTGGCCTCCAAAAAGATATATCTAAGCCTGAACCCCTATACTTGGGAATGTGACCTACTTAGAAACAAGGTCTTTGCAGACCTAATTAAGTTGATGGTCTTAAACCCACAAGAGAAGAGGCATAGGCACAGGGGTAAACAGCATATGAAGACAGAGGCAGAGACTGGAATGATACGTCTGCCAGCCAAGGATGCCAAGGACTGCTGGAAGCCAACAGAAGCTGGGAGAGAGGCATGGCACAGATTCTCCTTCAGATCCACCGAAGGGACCAGCCCTGCAGACATCTTGATTTAAGACTTCTGGCCTCCAGAATCACGAGAATAAATTTCTGTTGTTTAAAGCTACCGAGTTGGTGTTAATTCATTACGGCAGCCCCGGGAATCCAGTACAGATTCTAAGCCCCAACTCCAAGGAAGACTAAGGAGTTATTTTTGCTGACACTTCTCCCACCCTGAGACCTTGGAACAGCGGCCCCAAGCGTGCAGGAGGACGATGACCGTGGGGTGACTTCCCACAGGGGAACAAGAAAGGCCAACACAAACGGGAGCTTTTCCCTTCAGGGAGACACTGCTGGGATCTGCCCGAAGAATCAGGCTAATGCTTCACAAGAACGTGTTCAATAAACAACACTGTCATTTCTCTACAACTCCTCTCTGGGGAAGAAAGAATAAGTTAATAACCTTGGATGAGTGGAAGCCACTTGGAACTGTTAAAGCCATTCAGATTTTGAGGATGGCAAATATATCAAGAACAAGCAGCCAAGGGACCTCAAGAGATGGAACAGCTGCGCCATGTAACCAGGTGAAATGTCAAGACAAACCTAAACACCCACTTTTGGCCTTTAAAATCAGAGACCAGCGTGGAAAACACATAAGCTCATGGCGAAGCATCAGGGTGCTGCAGGGACACGGATGCCGCCTCGGGATGCACTAACAGAGCAAGACATCAAGAAGGTAGGAGGGTGGAGCTAAGGAACAGGCAGCCCAGACCCTAAAAGGACACTGATCTCCCCTGCTAAACAGGGAGGGGGAACGGGTTTTCTCTCCTTAGATGCACAAGGACTCGGCAGAAAGGAGCCCTGTCCCAAGCTCCCAAAGGACTGACCAGTGGATAGAAGGTTCAGGAAGAAAGACCGGTTTCATGCAAGGGGAAACTTATCCAGCCAGAGCATCCTAGCATGAGATAACCAGCCCGGGGTGGCAGGAACAGCCCAGGGAGGTGGGGAGGAGGGCTCCAGAGAAGCACAGGGCCCGGGACATCCTTCCAGCCCCGAGTTTCAAGGCTGCCCAGCCCCCCTCCGGCTAAACCACCTCATTTTCTTACTCTCAAACCATCCCGAACAGATGGGTGTTACATTTGGCCAGGACTGTTTCCAATGGCAATTCCAAATATAAGTCCAAATGCATTCCAGGCCTTCTGTGCTGCGGTTATTTTAGAAGGCTGCGGGTGCGGCCCGACAGCGGGCCTGCTCATGGGGTGCTGCTCGGCCCCTTTCCTGGAGCATGGGGTTCCTGGGAACCCGGCGGTGTGGCAGAGGAATGTGATGTGTGTGCTGGGGGGGTGCTCCCTCAACCCAGTGCCTCTGAAGGTGACCACCTCTCTTCCCACAGGATGAAGAGGGGACGGCAGTGAGTCTCAAAGCCGTACCACGAAAAATGTAGACAGCTCCCCCAAGACCACTGCTGAATTCCTTCCACGGTGTTTCCAGGGCGCTGCTCTGAGCCCACATGAACAGAGAGGTCAGTGTGCCAATCACTACCAAGCAGGAGCAGCTAATACTCCACGAGTTTCTCCTCTGGGCCAGGCTCTGAGTGATGTCTGGGTTTAGCCCCTGCAGTTTCCTCAGTCCCTGATGTGGACGCTGGCAGTTACGGGGGCAGCCATATCAGGCCCTGGGTGCAATGCCCTATGAGACGCACGCTACGCAACTTATGGGGGACAGGACAGGTGTCCAGAGAGGTTAAGGTGTTCGCCCACGGCCATGCAGCCCAGGAAGCTCCAGGGTGAGGACCCAAACAAACCCAGGTCTGCCTGACCTCAAGGCCCATGACCCAGCAGGACGTGGCCACTGCCTTTCTAGTTTAGGGAAGTAGACAAATCGATGGCTAGCCATTCGGGTCGATGCTTCTGGGTTTTGTTTTGGCTTTTTTACAGTTTGAGAGGGACAGCGATTTGGAACTACTTTTTAAGTAGTTATAGAACTACTTAAAAAGTCACAGGAGGCTGATAATCACAAAGTGTAACAGAGCAGCAAACAAGCATCTAAGATAAACTTGAGGAACTTCATCGCCATGGTCAGGAAAAGCAAATGTATTTGTGAAACATCATACCAGGCACCTAGAAATGACAGCAAAAACAAGGGGGTATCCGGGTGTCTATCACAAAGCCAGAACGCACTGTGTGACCTTGTATCACTTGGATAAACTAACATTCACTGGTTATTGCAATTGTTCGTTAGATTTTAACAGTTTTAGTCCTGAAATGATGATTTGCTTGATAACTGGCCTCCCTCTACCTGGAGACCTCTGCAAGGACCCGCTTTAATGTCACCAGTTTGGACAAACTCTCTATAGTGGTATCTCCTTTTGTAGGGTTTTCTTTCATATCATTTTTATATTGAGACATAATCCACATACTATAGGATTCACACCTGAAAATGGACAATTCGGTAGTTTTTAATGACACGTACAAAGTTGTGCAACCATCACCACTCCCCAGCCCCAGCCCAGCATGAAGAATATTTTCATCTCCTCAATAAGTGGCCACTGGTTTTAACATGGGTCCCCAGAGGAGCCCATGTCAGAAGTCACCAAGATCACCCAGCCCCAAAGGCACACAGAAGCACAAGCTCCAGTCTCAGCCTTAACTCGGACAAGGGCAGGCACAGCCTTGGGCTGCGACATTTCCTCCGGTTACTGCCTCAGCCTTCTCAGAGGACCACAGGGTTGAAGTTGTCAGCGGCTGGGGACAGGGGACGGCTCTCGGGCTGGGTCATTCAGTGATGCTGGCCTCATCTCCCTGTGCTCCTAGAACACCCGCTGGTCGGCTCCTCAGTGACACTCAAGGGAATACTCACATCTCCTCAGCCAGGAGTCCCCGAGAGGGGAACACGCTCGTGTCCTCCAAGTCACCCCCCACTACCTCACAATCCTGCAGGCACAAGAGGGTCGTATTAATGTGGTTACCACAAAAAAAGGCAGAGCCCCTGGCCTCATTAGTTTCCATTTGCCGGCATCCA